CCTGGGGACTGCTTTGCCATAGCAGAGCCCCTAGGGGAGCTCGAGTAGATTCGAGCCCTTAAACATGCACGTACCTTGACTTGTTGCCCCTTGCTTGCCTAGCCTGTACCCAGTTTTCCCAAACAATAAACGGACCGCTTGAGAGAGAGAGGGAGGGAGGGAGAGAGAGAGAGAGAGAGAGAGAGAGAGAGAGAGAGAGAGAGAGAGATAGAGAGAGAGAGAGAGAGAGAGAGAGAGAGAGAGAGAGAGAGAGAGAGAGAGAGAGAGAGAGAGAGAGAAACAGAGAGAGAGAGAGAGAGAGAGAGAGAGGAGAGAGAGAGAGAGAGAGAGAGAGAGAGAGAGAGAGAGATGGGGAGGGGGGAGGGGGCAAAGAGAAAGAGGTAGTGAGAGAGCGAGAGAGAGTCCCCGCCAATCCCCTCATCAATCCCGTCGTCCCCCGCTGTCAATGCCGCCGTCGCTAATCCCCCGTCAATTCCGTCGCCAATCCCGTCGCCATTCCCTCGTCAATCTCGTCACCATCCCCCCCGTCAAGTCCGTCGCCATTCCCCCCGTCAATCCCGTCGCCATTCCCCCCATCAATCACGAGATTGATACCCCTTACTAAAAGAGACGGAAAACAAATTTAGAAATAGATAAGGGAACGACTTACGTTGGGTAGGAAATCAGGTGGCGAGGTGGCGTGGCTGAAACTTCAATGTGAGAAGGGAGGCTGGGGACGAGGCGAGAAAAAAAAGAAACCCTAGAGAGTATTCTGATTCGTCGCAAACAAATTGGACGTGAAATTTTAGTTATCGGCGTGTGACGTCTTAGGATAGCACAGAGTGTAGAATCGTTTCGAGATCCAGGTTCGAAACCTGATTGAGTCATTTTGCGTTTCTGCATTTCTGAGTTGGCTCTGGCAAACCTGGAAAAAAAAAAAGAGTTGCGCTATTAAAACATCAGATGTACAGTGATGACAAACAATAATGTATATTACGAAATAAAATAAGACTGATGCACAATTGTAAAAAAATATCACATCAAATGAGAAGAGTCATAATCTCGATGTTAAATGCAAAATAACATTATTAAAATTGCCAAACCGGCAAAGATAGCTCCGCAACCCTAAGACGATTTAGTCGACACTTGTTTTGCCTTTAATTCCACCCACCCCAAAATTTTCATGAATTTTTATGAGCTCCCTAGGGTACTATATCCGGGAGAATACGGGTACCTGTTGGGGTTGTACTCACTAGAAGCACACACCTAGGATAGCCTATAACTTCTACATACAGCATGTGCATAAGTTGACTAACAATCAGGGCCCACTACCGTTGTTACGCTGGTCAAACAGAGTTCAGTTATAAAAAAACTTTGATTTATCAGGGTTAAGGGAGAAAAAAATCCTAGCACATCAGGGTCGGTGCCGACAAACCCTATGAAAAAACCCTGAATCAGGGAAATTTGCATGAAATATGAGGCCCTGAAAAAGACCGCAACTACACCACTATGTATGAAGAAGACCGCAACTTCTCTGAACCCTTCAAACCTGCATCAGAAGAACTGCCTTGCCACAGGAAAAATCCTGTATGGCAAGCCGACTACAAAATTGCCCGTTATCCAGAGCTCACTTTCCCTTATCAGACGCCTGCTTCAGCAGCTGTCTGGACTGGACGCGGGCAGTCCACTGTGTGCACCCCAGTCGATGCATCCGCGTGGACCAGAAGCCATTTCTCAAATTCATCGGTGGACCATGCCATGAAAGTATTCACGGAGAGGAAAATGGGCACATGCCCGAGTAAGAAATCAGAAAGGCAAAGCTCTTCCTGTGATTGCCTGGGGCGCCAAATCAGTAGGCCCAGCGCAACAGGATAGAAGGCATTCCGTATCTTCTGCAAAAAAAAAAAGGCGATTCCACGCCTTGTTCTCGCGACTGTCTGAAGTCTCCAAACCGTGACCTTCCTCCACGGGAAAAAAATCGCGAGCTCCTCATTTCTCCGAGTCCGCAATGCTTCAGAAGAGCCTTTTAGCATCATCCAGCACCCTTCCGCATCATCCAGTCTCTGCGGCCAGCATGAGCGAAATTCCGGACACTCGCCTGGTTCTTGAAAAATCTATGTCAGACGAGCGGCGAGGAGACACCCTGGCAAACGGGGATTCTGCGTCGCTGGCCGGGGGACCCTGGACGTGGAAATTGACGTGCGACGGAAATTGCTGTGCGGCTTCAGATGAGGACCTGAAGAGGTCACGCTTTAACGACGGGACTGCTGCGTTGTTCGCGGCGCCGACGCTACGCGATGATTCTGACGCCGATTTTCGCCACATAGCCGCAGCACCGCCAGCTCGAGATTGCAATCTGGTTGAGTCACGTTGATCGTCGGGGAACTGACTCGCGCGAGTAACGGAGGAAGACGTTCTGAAATCGGCGATAGGCCAAGCGCCGCCATGAGATGCTAAGTAGCGTGAGAGCATCATAGTCTCGTCCATCTCGTCTATGGAAGCCATGATTTTCCACTAAAAAGGTCACAATTAGATTATGAGAAACGAGGAGCTTGTTGAAACTACTTGTGCTAAAGAGCCCCAAGAATTAGCCTTGTACGGTACTGTTGCTTTTGAGAAACGGACGAAGAGACCTGACGACGACGACTGTTATTATCAAAGGCCGACCAACCGACGACGGTGCTTTGTAGACCAAATGGGAGGCGCTGGGTTTGGTGGGACGCAGGCACTGGTGCTGGTAATGAGGGGCAGAAGCATCAGCTGAAGCATTCAGGATTGAGCTTTCAGCGAAGCAGCGAGCCAAGAAACGAAATGCTTTCTCCAGCTTTCGGACAGGAGACGAGGTCCACACAACCATGAGCATCTTCGGACTCACTGAATTCTGGATAATGGATACTTTCTAAATAGGGATGGGTGAAAATGGTTTTACGACGGTATACCGTGGTGCACAGTGGTAGAATTGCCCTCGTATGAGTCGAACCTGTTGGAAATGAAACTGATGAATCAACCTCTGCTGCGTGTTGTGCTTCTCCCCTGAAAAAAGGATTGATTCATGCAGACAGCAAATTCCGTCGAACCACTGAGCTGTTTCGGGTGATGCTTAGGAAATTGGAGGGTTGCTCTTGGAAAGTTGGAGCGCCCCACTTTTACTAGAACCCCGCCAAAAACTGGAGTTGAGATCGACACTCCATCCAGAGTGTTTCACCGTTGACGATATAAATTGGTGATGTTTCAAAATGGCCAGCGTAAATTACACCTCCACCTGCCCAAAGGGCCTCCCATGGACCAGTGTTGCCTAGCAACATGCGATTCGCACGCACTCAGCGACTTGATGCGAATCGTACGATGCTTCTACGACATAGCTGCGTTGGTTCTACGATCCTCTTTTACTCTGGCCGTGTTCCTACGCGACACGATATCATTCAGGATTTTGCCCATTAACACGTAAATACAAATTTGATACGAAGCGGCGTGACTTTGTGTCTTTTAAGAACAGGCCCTCACAGCAGTAGCAGGCTGATGTGGCGGCGTGACCAAACACACGCGCAATGTGACGCACCGTCCTCGTCACATTTTGCCTGACCTCATCTATGCAAACAGCTTCGGTACTAGCATGCTTCCCCGTCAAATGGATTATTCAATGTTTCAAACTAAAAGTTCAGAAGAGGGATACATCTTAAGGCAAGAAACCAGCCGGAAAACAGTTGGGAAACTTATATATTGGGCGAACATACGAAATTAATTTAAACAAATAATTTATTCTCGTACTACAATGTTGTTGGAAATACCTCGAAGACTTCAGCGTTTCTGAAGTGTAACACTGCACTCGAGAAAAATCGTATCGGGTACGCGAGTCAACGGAGGTTACACGAGGAGGTTGAACGAAAGAACACGAAAGGACGAAGGGACTCGAAGGATCGCAACCGGAGGTTGCGATTGAATGTTGCGACTGCAAGGATGGTAACCGAACAGACAATCGAGTCGCTGTGCGACTCGATAATTGTTTCAACTGTATTCTGCAACTGCTTCATTTCTTATTTTCTAAATATGGCTGTATGCTTGTTCCTTCTAATCAATCACTTGCTCTCACATACTAGTGCAAGGGTTCAACTACTCAACACTTCCGCTGCACTACTCAAGCATCTTGTAAAAGTGGAACTTAGTCTCTGAAAAGATCCTAAGGCTTTTTCTCAGCCCAACATGGTATGAGAGCTGGTCATAGACCAAACTCCCATCGAGGACATCCTATCTACAGTCAGCACATCAAAACTTCATCGATTACAAGTCATGGACAACAAGGGCAAGAAGTCTTCGACGGGCTCACCCATCGCCCATGACACTCAACCCGGCACCTCTGGACTACACACTTCAGGACTACAAACTGAGACCGGCGCTGCTCAAGAAACAACAGGAAGGGTACCAGAAATGGTGACCCCTTCACCCTCTTCAGGCGTGGACCCAAACCTTATAGAAAGGTTCTTCAGCTTCATGTCACACTTTGACCAGCAGCAGCAGACAAGGACACCTGCGCATTCAACACAGAGCAACAGGGGAAATATGGGATTAGCACCAATGAGCCTCGGCAGCTCATCATTCGGGCGGCACAATCAGGCACCTACCTTTGCGCCTTATCACTCTTCACCAGGGACGTTCGAGTTCATGCCGCCCCGTACTCAACGGACAGCAGCTGCATTACAACAGACACCAAACGAGATATTGAGTCTTCAGGCGCAGTTTTCACATGTGATCAAACTGCAGACATCTTCACCATTCAACGGGCACAGCTTCTTTACATGGAGTTTTGAGTTCGAGCTGCTGATGGAGGCCGCGCATCTCTTGGGATACTTCAAAGGGTCCCTGCCATTTCCAAGCAATGGCACTGCAAAGGAGCAGGAAATCTTCACTTATCAGTCGCTGCTGGCGTACACAGTTCTCCTGCGAAATCTGTCACCACAAGAGCAACAGAGCATCAGAACGTTTCGGAGCTACGGAAACTCCGCGGAGCTCGCCTGGCATCATCTGAAGTGTCTCTATCAAGCAAACGACAGCATGACACAAAGCAGACTCATGCAGCAGTTGATAACAATACAAATGAAGACCGGGGACAAGGCGATGCAGTATATGAATCGCTGCCAGACACTCCGCGACCGCCTGCTTCGGTGCGGAGGAACAATCACTGAGGAAAGATTCGTGACACTTGTTCTCGCCGGGCTCGGACCAGAATGGAGAACCACCCGCTCGCTCCTTCGCGCCCACGGACGAATTTCCGATATGCACCTCTGCGCCGAGCTTCATGCCGAACAACAGGAGATGGACATGTTTGAAGAAAGACAACCAAGAAACAACAAGCAACCGTTAGTCTTCTATACTCAACGGAGAAACGACAACAACTACAACCGACGTGATAAGCAGAACCGACATGACACCAGATGACTCACCATCGTGCCACCGTTCTGCCACAACTGTCAGACATCCGGGCACTCCAAGGTCAACTGCACACGCCCTCGAGTTTATCGTCCAGCAGACCCGCAAGTCGCCTCCACTCAAGAGACTCCGCCAAGCCGCTCCTCTACACCTGCACAAGGCGCACAAAACATTATTAACTGCATGGTGCACATCAACAACTGCACACCCAGATCACCACCCACTTACGCTCCAGACGAAGAAGAACTGCCGCCGCCGCGCTCACAAGGTCTTCAAGTCAACCCCACGTACGCTGCAGTCGCCAACGCTGAACCTAGCGGGCGCAACACTTGGTTCTTGGACAGTTGCTGCGGCCAACACATGTGTTCCTCGGGGCGCTTCGTGCAACAAGAGCGACGTCTCAACTGCGATGTCATCATCACCATCGCCAACAACGAAAACCTGAAGACAAACAGACAAGGAGTTGTTCAACTTCAGTCAATGGAAACAAACGTCATACTGCAACTCAACAAGGTTCTCATCGTCGACAATTTGGAATACAATCTATTAAGCGTCAGCCAGTTAATGGCGAAGGGAATTCACCTGGAATGTGACTCGGACGCCAACGAGTTTCGACTTTACCACGGGAAGGGCGGCCTCTTCATCGGTCAAGCTCTCCAGAAGTCGGGCGTCTTCGTGCTGGACTTCGTCCCCGACCGCGGAACTTCCGACAGCGATGGCATCGTGTCGTTCGCCGCCTGGACGCACCCGCCGGATCTTGACCCCGACTTCACTCCAGACGGATTCTGGTATTCCAACACCATCCCTGCAGCAGAAAGAACATGTGCATTAGTAGTCATTCATCAAGAATGACAAGTACCAGCAAGTACACCTTCCTCAACATCACCTGTAGTAACGGCAGCAGGACCCAGCCGCGCGCCATCACCGACAATCCGAGGACCACCAACCGAAGCAGATCAACTCATGCCCATCACACGAGGAGTCTGCCGCAGTCCCGCCACGATCGTCGCGTTCTTCTCCAACGCCGACGTGTACTAGCGCTCACCCGACCATCGCGCTCCCGACGACATCTGGCATCAACGCCTCGGACACCCTGCAAACATCACTGTTCTACAAACCATACAAGCCGGAGTATTAGAAAAGGACGCTCTTCTCACAACGAGCGGCCAGGAGCTTCGACGACCCCGTGCACGATGCTTCACATGTCCTGAAGCTGATCTTCCCCACCAACCTTTCCCGTCGCACCACAATCCAAGCGCACCTGCATACGCACCGATGGAAAACGTCTACAGCGACATCTTAAATATGCCTCGAGACGACAGTGAAGCAGAGTACAACTATGTCATCACGTTCATCGACGCAGCCAGACGATACGTCTGGCACTACAATCTCAAGACACGTGATCAAGCGTTCGAAGCCTTCACGACGTGGCTCCCCATCGTTGAACGAGAATCGGGCTCCCAACTCAAGAGCTTCCAGTGCGACGGGGCTCTGGAGTAACAATTACGAAGGTTTAGGAGCTATCTTGCAGAAAGAGGCATCAGACGCGTGGTGTCTCTGCCCTAAGCTCACCAGCAGCAGAGGGTCGCAGAGAGGATGAACCGCACCTTGTAGACGATGATGCGAAAGCTGCTCCTGGGGATGAGACTGCCCAACACACTTTGGCCTGACGCGATGACGCATGCAGTCCACCTCCACAACTTGCTGTCCTCGTCATCACTTCCCAACAGCGCATCACCGCACTTGCTGTGGGCAGGAAAACCGGGCAGCACAAAATTACTTCGAGTCTTCGGCTGCATGGTACAGTACAGACCCCACACAGCCCGAGCAGGACGATTCTCTTAATGAGCACGGTGGGGACTACACCTCGGCATCGCAAAACATTTCCAAGCATGGAAACTTCTCGACATTCATGACAAAACCACCGTGGCCTCACCTGATGTGATTTTCTACAAGAGACTGACGCTGCAGCATTACTTGAACAACATCGCCAACACAATAGACCCCACCGACGGCTTTCAAGGCCATCGGTCCTTCGCCGACCGTGCTGCCGAAGCTGACGCAGCAGAAGAAGACGTACCTGAAGCCTCGGAAGCTGCCAGACCACTCCCTTACTACTCTGTGACCGTTCCACTCGACGACGACAATCCTCTCGATAGTAACAACCTCGACAACTATTACCACTTCGCTGACCAGGGTTACACTACACCTCAACCGGTCGACACAAATATCTCTGAACGCATTTGACCCAATTTCTTACCTGACCCCGAAGATGGTGACGAAGCAGCTTATCCCGAGAATGACAATTCCCCTCGACACACACCCACGGGCCTGCAGATACTTGGACTATGGGTCGCCGTCCAGAGCATGCCGCCGCCGTCGTCGCGCGAGCCAACGACTCTGTCGCAGGCTCTAGGGGGGGAACACAAGGCGAACTGGAAGGAAGCAATGGAAAAAGAAGTGAAGGCTCTGCAAGACTGAAATACGTGGAAGCTGGTACCTGCAAAAAAAACCAACGGGAAGAATATGCTCTCGGGGAAATGGGTGTACCGCATCAAGACTAATGCGGATGGCTCCATCGACCGCTTCAAGGCTCGCTGGGTCGTACGAGGATTCGACCAGCGATACGGAACCGACTACACAGAGACATTCACCCCAGTCTCCCGACATACCTCCCTGCGCATTCTGCTCGCCGTCACAGCCACGAAAATGCTACCACTACGCCAGATTGATGTCGCCAACGCCTTCCTGTACGCACCTGTGGACGCTGAAATCTTCGTCGAGCAGCCCCACGGATTCATCGACGATCCCACAAAAGTGTGCCAACTGGTAAAATCCCTCTACGGAATCAAACAAGCCCCGCGGCTCTGGCAGCAGCACCTTTACGACCGCCTCGTCAGGATCGGCTTCCTACAACTGCTGCACGATCAAGGGATGTACCGACTACAGAAGGGGGGGGATTTCATCCTACGAATCGTCTACGTCGATGACCTGCTCTACGTCGGCTCCACTACCGACGTCGTCACTTGGTTCGAAGGGGAGCTGAGGAGTGACTTAACACTCACGGTGTCAGACACCGTGAGCCAGTACCTAGGTCTGAACGTCGTCGAAGACGACTCGGCGTTCTACCTACACGCCGGAAAGTACGCAGGCGTTATCGCGAAGAAATTCGGACTAATGCCGGTCGCAGTCGCGACTCCCTATCGCTACGGGAACAACAGTGACACCTCCGCAAAGCTCCCCCCGAAGCAAATCCAGGAATATCAACAGAAGCCCGGCTGTCTACTGTTCACAGCAGTAACCTGCCGACCGAATCTGTCCTACAGCGCGAGCCAACTGGCGACACACATGAAGCAGCCGGAGCACGAGGATCTCGAGGAGCTAAATCGGGCACAGCTCTACTTCGACTCTACGCCGACGACCGGACTTACCTACAGCAAAGTAACGCCATCGTCCGTACAACTACTCGGCTATGTCGACGTCGACCACGCGGGAGATAGGGAGAATCGTCGTTCCAGAACGGGCTACATGTACCGGCTAGAGCCTATCGGGACTATCTACTGGCAATCGAGCAAGCAGGAACTAATCGCTCTATCCTCGGCTGAAACGGAATACATCGCTCTCTGCTCTGCGACCAAAGAAGGACTTCACCTGCGGGAGCTGCTCGAGGAAGCGAAAATTGCGACCATGCCCGCCTTCTTGTTATTTTGCGACAAC